TTAGCTGCGTATGTTTCTCGAACGCGAACATTTGTTGAATGACCGTCAGTATGGATTTTGCCCTCGTCAATCTACGGGTGACCTACTGACGCTCACAGTACATTCCTAATCGATAATCACGGAGAAACTCACATGGTCTTGCTCAACATTTCAAAGGCCTTCGACCACATTTGGCGTGAAGGTCTGCTGTCGAAATTACCAACGTTTGGATTCTACTCGTCTTTAGTATCGTGGTTCTGATGTTTTCTCAGCAAGCGAACCATCTTCGTCCGCGTCGGTGGGGTCCTATCTCAGCCATTTCCTGCGAAGGCCACTGGTCCCCACGGTATCATACTTTACTCACCCTCTTTGTTTTATTTATCAACGACCTTTTATCCCAAACTTCTAATCCCATCCACTGCTTTACCGATGATGCCACTTTCCATTGTTCCATTTCTTACCCCACACCCCATCAAGCTACTACCAATATCGATCACGATCGTAATTCCATTAGTGCTTCTCTTGCCTCCGATCTCGGACTAATCTCCGCATGGGGTTCTACCAACCATGTGTTTCAATGCTTCCAAAACTTCTCTGCGCTCAGCCTCTTCTAACCGTGTCCCCTATTCTCCTTAATTGATTTTTGACTCGCTGCCCCTTCGTTCCACAAATTCTCTCTCTTGGATTTATCCATAAATTTCTCTCTCTGTTGGTTCCCTTTTACTTCTGCATTTGCTTCTACATTTGCCTCTGGCACTGCGCGCAAAATCGGTTTTCTATTCCGTGCAAAGCTTCTCTTTACATCCAGCACCTTCTCCTTTTATACAATGCGCAAATCTGTTCGATGCTCGAATACTGAAGTCACGTATGTGGTGGAGATTCGTATTCCGCTCCTTCCTTCCTCGGCCGTGCTCAATGAAAGACCATCCGGTTGATCGACAAACCGTCTTTAACTTCAAATCTGCAATCACTTTCCCACCGCCGCGCAGCTACTTCCTTATTTCTTTTCGATCGCTGCTATTTGGTTTCCGCTCTTTCGAACTCGCTTCGTCGGTTCTCTTCCGTTGACCTTTTCTCGTCCACCTCGTTCTCAGGCGAGCAGTCACTCATATCAGGTTTCTGTCTCCGAATGCCGGACTCTTAATCCTCTTTTCTTCCCGAGGCATGTGAAATTGTGAAATACTGTTCCCATTACCGCATTTCCAAGTTCTTATGACCTTACTCTTTTCAAAAGCAGAATGAACAAATTGCTTCTCACTTGAATGTTTCCCCGCATACCTCCCCATTAAAGTAAATCATCGATTACGGGGTTTGCCCCTTTTGCTGTAAATCACTTCGTGTGTAATAAAAAACAGTAAGTTGTTTTTTGTAGGTCAGAATGTGTATAATGTTCTTTCCCGCTCTGACTGACCCGATGTTCCCACTAGACATGGGCAAAGCTTCGGAGACAAATACAGAAAGTCTATTAGCATCTTCCGCTCGGAGGAGCCACGTCTCGCAACTGTAAAGCAAAACACTATGAACCGCGGTGATGTACACCCTTCGCTTAAGGGACGGTCAAGTATCAATGTGGTGCCACATGTGTCGCACGTTGGTAAAAACTGCTCTAGTTTTCACTATTCGTGATGTGATCTCCTCCCCAACACCAAGGCCAGCTGTCATCGAGCTCCCGAGGCACTTAAAGCTCTCAGAGGGTGAGTGCAAGCACAAGTTGCCCTATCCTCACTCCATTTCACCTTTTTCAAAGAGGATATTCTACAGAATGCACTATCTGGTTTGGCAAATGGTGCAGTCAAACTCAGGTAGCAGAAATCCTGACCTAGAATATACCGATGACATCGCCTTTTCGGGTGACAATACACGGGCAGTCTTAAACGCTTTACACCGCTTGGCGATAGAGATATCCAGGTATGGTATGTGCTTTACACCACCAAAGTGTTATTCAACAATATTCATTTATCGATGAAGTTTGATTTTCCGATTTGATACCATTTAAACGTTGTTTTTATTTGTTTCTCCAGATTCCTGACAAAAAGCATTTCTTGAGATTCAATCAGAATGCAAAAGAAAATAATGCAACGATTTGTGCAAAAGAATGACGGTGCCGGATCGGGAATAAGCTTCTGTACAGCTTTTCTTTGTCTTGTAAATAAACTTTCGCACTTCCATTATTTTTCTATTACGGACAATTCGCTCCACTGATTCATTATCACCATCTGTACTACATGGTAGGAATTCATAGTTCGAGCGGGTTTCGGGTAAGTAGTTACGTTTGGAAAAGGTTGTAGATCCTGCGTGTAAACGGGACCTCGAAGTGTTGGTTTCCTCTCCGTTAAAAGCCGAGAAACAGACGAACAGAGCCTGTACCTCTGGTTTAAGAATCTGTGGAGCTGTTCGCTGTTCCTTTTCTAAACTGTCATACGACGGTTTCAGAAAGCTGTACCCCTCTCATGTTCGACCTCACTTGGAGTTTGCGAAGTCCGCGGTACATCCTCGCACTGCAGCTGAATTTCATTAGTCGGTGAGGGTTCAACGAGTTGCCACTTGTCTTATCGCCTGGCTACATGAACAATGCCGCAGCGAAGTTTTGCAGGCCAGGAGACTGTTCCCGGAGTCTTACAGCCTAGTTCGTGGCGACATCACATGTGGTTGGCGTATCCTCCGCGGTGACATGGACCTGGTGCTGGAGTACTTCCCTCTGCGTGAGCGGAACCGAACACGCGGACATAATCTCACATTTCTGAAGCATTCCCTCACGTACCGACTCTTGCGCAGGGTGACGAACTCACGGAATGCTCTTCTGACTGATGTAGTAGATGACGTCAATGACAGTTCGTCAAACGGGGAGCTCGACTGCGTTCTCCGTGAAAACGAGTATGCAGGACAGGACAGGAAACAGGACTTGCGGCAAAGCCAGACGGTGTACAGTTTCTTGCACCAGGTGAGCTAAAACGTGGGCAACACGGTGGGTTCTACATTCGTATGTGCTGAAAGTGCTTCCAAGGACAAACCTGCAAAAGGACTACACTGCTGACTGACCTATGGGTAACCGAACGATATTGGAGATTTTNNACAACGCGACAGCTTACATCCATCTCTCTCAGAGGGGGGGGGGCAAAAAACGGACAGAACTATGGGAGTCGAAGATTACTTGTCTTAAGAAATCGGGATGTAGAAAGGGAACGGCTACCTTGGAAATGAAACGGATTGAAGGGTAAGGTAGTTACAAGGGAACTGA